GGTGGGATGGTGGTGGCAAAGCAGTATTTCAAAACACGAAGGCCCAGCTCGAGCTCAGTCCAACACTTCTGTGCCGACTAAGGATTGGAAACATTACTGATGGCCTCCAAGGGTGTAGAGACAGCTGCCTCAAAAGGATGCCTTTGGCAAATTTCCTAATGAAATTGTGAAGAAAATAACTGACTAACCTTGAAAGTTCAAAAAAGGGCGAAAGGAAAAACATAGATACAAGGTGGTCTGCAACACCTGGGTCTCTTCTTGGGGATTTCAGTGGAAAAAGCAAATGGTTAGTTTCTTTCCAAACCTCCATTTTTAAGCCCCCAGGAGGAAAGGGAGACATAATTTTTCTCACATATCCATGTCTGTCCTCTTTCTCTACTTCTCTATGTTCTGAACATAACTATCCACTCTTGTAACTTAAGTCATACTGTTCATTCTACATATTCAGATGACCAGTTAGTTATTGTATCTCTACCTTTCCTGATCTGTAAACAGAATTCTCTGACACACTTAATACATATACACTGTTCTTCAGCCCTCAAACGTAAACAATTAAAGCTCCAACAATTTAATAAGCACTCAAAAAAATACCTTCATTATTTACAGAAATAACCCAAGAACTATTCTAACAGCAAGGAGCCCTGGTGAGACGCAGTGGTTAAAGCATTCACCTGCCAACAAAAAGGTCGACAGTTCAAACCTACCAGCTGCTCCCTGGGAGAAAGATAAGGCAGCCTGCTCCTGTAAACATTACAATCTGGAATCCCCATGGGGCGGTGCTACTCTGTCCTATATGGTCGTGGTCACTTGCAATCAACTGGACAGCAGTCAGTTTGCTTTTGGATATTGTAATAGCATGCATCTAATTAAAATTCAGAATCTTAATTTCTTCCCTAACCAAATCCAAACAGTAACTCTTCTTTACTAAATATTTTCTCAAAATCACCAACAGCACTTCAATTTTCATCTTAAATTCTTTATCTAACCTGTATTCTTTAAGCAGTTAATAACCTTATTCAGTTTCAAAACAAACATCAGGTCAGCTAGTTTCACGTATTACTTTTAATTATCCTTTATTTGTATCATCCTTCAAACTTAGCTGACCTTGATGTGTTTGTCTGAAATTGAAAATCCTTCCTCTTACATTCTAGTACAAATATTCTCTCATTTGTTGAAAACTCATGTTCTCACTCTCAACAGGCATCAGTCTTTCATTTTTTTTATAACTCAATTTGTGGGGGAAAAAAATCATTATTCGGTTCATATCATGATGGACTAGCTTATATCAAACTAACTCTCCTATTAATAAAAACTATAAAATGTAGATAAAATGGGGGGGAGGGGACTGCACTAAAGAACAATTAAAAGAGGCAGAAGTAAAAAGGGCTACAATTCGTGACAGAAGAGAAGTTTATAAAATCAGTTCCACACTACCTTGGGCTTTTTTTTCTTCAGTCAGCTGGGTAACAGAGGAAGAGAGCTCAAGAAGAAAGGAGAAAACCAGTCAGTGTTTTGGCTACCAGACAAGTGGAAACAAAGGGACAAAATTCCAAAGAGGAAAACCAAAAAGAGGTGGGAAACTGAAGTAAACTAGCAGAAAACAGCAATTAAAAGGCTAAAGAGATGAGCAAAGATTGTAGATATTATCTCATGCTAGCCAGACAAAAGACTGGAGTAGAGGCCGCAAGCTATATACTTTCAGGAACAATTCAAGTTCTCTGTTGAAAGTTCAGAAGAGCCTCTCCTCAGGACTATGAGTACAACTAAAGCAGATTAGCCTTATCAAGATTTGGAGCTCTGGTAATGTAGTGGTTAAAACATTCAGCTACTAACCAAGAGATCAGTGGTTGGAACCCACCAGCCTCTCTGTAGAGAAAGATGATACAGTCTACTTCTGAAAAGATTTACAGCCTTGACTGCTAACCAGAAGGCTGGAGGTTTAAACCCACCAGTCATTCCTCAGAAGGAAGACTGGGCAATCTACTTCCATAGAGATACTGCCTCAGAAACCCAAGGAGGGGTCACTAATGAGTCAAAATCGACGACAGCAGTGAATGTGGTTTTTATAGAAAATGGTTAAAATGGTGAATTTTATGCTATGTGAATTTTATCTCAGGAAAAAATAAAGACTAAATGGACAGCCAAGAGAAATAACAGATAATAAAAAAGGCACATGGAGAGCTGGATATAAGTTTAAGGTCAATATATAAAAAACAACCATGTATCTATATATTTGTAACAACAGAAAATCACATTTAAAATCACATTACCAGTAATAATACCATCAAAAGTTACTGTAGAGAGATACAATACCTCTACCCTGAAATACTGTTGAGAGAAAGAGTTCGACTAAATGGAGAGGATATGCATTTTCATCAACTGGAAAACTCAATATAGTAAAGATATCATTTCCCTCATATTGACTAGCAATTCCATGCAATCCTATATCAAAATCCCAGCAGGCTTTTTGCATAAATTTACAATGTGATTCTAAAAATTATACAAAAATGCAAAGGCCTTAGAAGAGTCAGGACAATCTTAAAGAAGAAAATTACTGGACAGGAATATTTACTATAAAGCTGTATTAACCAGGACATGTAGTTAATTCAAGGAAAGACAAATCTATGGCAGAGAACAGAGAAGCAGATCCACACAGTCACTTTACTAACAACAGAACAATTTACATTCAACAAGGAAAGGATAATCTTTCCAATAAACAGTGCTGGATCAACTGAGTAACATATGGGAAAAAAATGTACCTTGAATCCTAGCTGAGATCATTCACAAACATAATTAAATGGACCATGCATAAACAAACATCTAGAAGAAATCACAGGCAAATATCTTCATGACCTTGTGATAGGAAAGTATTTCCTAAGCAGGGTACAGAAAGAATTGCCTATAAAGTATCAATTGATAAACTGGATTTCATTTAAATTATGAACTGCATTCATCCAAAGACACCATTAAGAGAATAAAAAAGCAATTTTTAAACTGGAGAATATATATGCAATATTATAGCCAACAAAAGACTTGTATCCAGAATATATAAAGACCTCCCACAAATCCTTAAGAAAATGACAACCCAATTTAAAAGTGGGAAGAAAGGATCTGAAAGTTTTTTGGTATAACAGAACGAAGTATCTTGAATAGTAGTGGGAGTTACACTGATTTATCAAAACTGTACATTTAAAATAGACAAATTTTATTGAATGTGAATTACATCATCTCCTCAAGAAAAGCAGTCACTGACCACAGAAGTAATGAGGTCCTCATTACCTACTCCCAAAATCCCAAATGTCCTTCCTTCATCACACTTACAACAGTTGTAATTTTAAATGTGTTTGTGTGATTACTTACTAATGTCTGTTCCACCACAATATGTTAAGTTCCGTAAGAATTGGGTCCAGGATTATAGCTGCTTACCACTGTAAGCCCCAATCACATAGTATCAAATACAGGTACCCAATAAATATTTACTAAATGAAAAGAATGATTTGGAAATACAAGCAACATCTCAAAATTAAGAGTATCTTTTTGATAATTTACATAAATGTTTCTTAATTGTTAAAACTGCCTATTCTACTTCCACATCTCTATTTGGATTTCTTTGAGACATAATAAACTTAGCATCTACAAATTCTTGGCTCTTACTTCCCCATACCCCAATTCCTCTTACTCACATCTCAGTTGATGGCAATCCCCACCCCATCCAATTGCTCTGCTGAAAACCTTGGAGTCATCCCTAATACTTCTCTTTTTCTAACATTCCCCTCTCCTCTACATCCAATTCAGCATATCCTTTCAGCTCTACCACTTCTACCACCACCTCCACTGCTACCATCTTGGTGTAAGCTATCATCACATCTCTCAGGGTGATTATTCCAACAGCCTCCTAACTGGTTTCCGTGCTTCAACTCATGTGCCTCTTTATTATATTCTTCACAGCGTATGTAGTCAGAATGAGCTTCAATTTATTCCTCTGCTCAAAATCCTTCAATGGCTTCCTATCTCAAAATAAAAGCTTAAGTCCTTATAATACCTTACAAGACCTTATATATTCTGTCCACCCACCCCCCTTACCTTATTCTGCTTCAATCACAATGACCTTCTCGTGTTCTCTGAACACCCAGGCATAGTTTCACCTCAAGACTTTTCCACTGCTTTTTCCCTCTGCCTAAAGCACTCATCCTCAAATCTTTGCTCAAATGTCACCTTCTTAGTAAGTTCTATCTTGACCACTCTATTTCATAGAGCAAATTCCCTCCCCTTACCCAGCATTCCTAACATACTTTACCTGCTCTTTTCTTTCCTTAGCTCTTATCTAACAAGTTATATGAGGAAATGATTATGCTTGCCTTTCTTGGTAGAATGTACAACCCAAAGAACAGACATAAAATAAACTCAAAATGAAGTATTTATCACAAAACTGAAAATAATTCTGATTACAGCAGTATCTTTAGTGTTTCTTTAAAACAAGAAAAAAAATCACTGAAGGAATTTTAGTTTAATAATCTTTCATCTGTGTAATTACCACTAGTAGAA